AAGAGAAGACATAAAGCCGAGCCATGTGGAAATAAAAAAAGGAAAATGGGATAGAACTCGAACGCTATTGTAAGAAACATAACATTTGCCAGGTATCACTGTCCATTGTCATATTCCTTATTGCTTAATACAACTCTTTGGACAGTTCAGTTTGTGCAAAATTATAGATATGTAAAGAAGCTCTGCGTGTGCAGAGATAGGCTTACATGAAGCCATTCAATGGGACCTTTCATCATAGGACGATCCGGACAAGAAATCTAGAAGAGGGAAACACAATTACCAAACTAAACGAGGCAAACAGAAGATGAAATCGAGACTCTGATGAGCATGAACAACAAGTCTCTCAAAGAATCACCCGTCACTAAGGGCCCTCGATGAGAATAGCCACTCATTCCTGTGGGAGAGAAATTAAAGTTTCGCAGTAGAACATACAAACAACCCCGAAGAATCACAGAACATAAGGTGTTAGTTGTCGCCATATCAGACGCGCTAAACTGATATGTCCATTTTGCATCATGATTCCCTACTGTTATTTATAAGGCAATTCTAATGCATTTTCTCTCTTAATTTGCAAGATTTACATGGAGAGGGAGATTACAGACAACTGGAATTCTGGACCTAAAAAATCTACAATAGAGATACCTATTCTAAAGAGCTCCAAATGACCTGAAACTTCACAGAGATTTTTTATTAAATATATAAAAAATGTTGGAGCAAAGAAATACTAGAGGGGGCCACCACCTGCCCACAAGGCAACAGGACGTGACCACCTCCCAGGCATGCCGTGATGCCCTATGGGTCCCGCAACAGGCCTCCGGTGCCCATCTTCTGCTATATTAGGGGTTTTGACCTAGAAAAATGAATAAGATGAGGACTTTTGGGATGAAGTGCATCCATCTCGAGGCGGAACCTGGGCAGGAGCACTTTTGCTCTCTTGCAGAGTGATTCCATCGGGGACACTTCCCTCTGGGAGGGGAAATTGAAGCCATCGACATCACCAACGATCCTCTCATCATGAGAGGACCAATATTCATCAACATCTTCACTAGCACCATCTCATCTCAAATTCTAGTTCATCTGTTGTATTCAATCTTTGTCTCAAAATCTCAGATTGGTACCCGTGGGTTGCTAGTAGTGTTGATTACATCATGTAGTTGATGCTAGTTGGTTTATTTGGTGGAAGATTATATGTTCAGATCCTTAATGATATTCAGTACCCCTCTGATCTTGAACATGAATATGATTTGTGAGTAGTTACTTTTGTTCTTGAGGACATGGGAGAAGTCTTGTTGTAAGTAATGATGTGAAGTTGGCATTTGTTTGATATTTTGATGATATGTATGTTGTTGCTTCCTTTATTGGTGTCGTGTAAACATCGAGTACATGACAATTCACCATATTTGGGCGTAAAGGAAGACATTGTGGAGTAATAAGTAGATAATGGGTTGCTAGAGTGATAGGAACGTAAACCCTAGTTTATGCGTTATTCCATAAGGGGCTGATTTGGATCAATATGTTTCATACTATGATAAGATTTATCTTAATTCTTCGTTTGTAATTGCGGATGCTTGCGAGAGGGGGTAACCATAAGTGGGTTCCTTGTTCAACTAAGAACAACACCCAAGCACTGGTCCACCCACATATCAAATTATCAAAGTAGCGAACGCGAATCAACTAAACATGATGAACGTGACTAGACGACAATTCTCATGTGTCCTCGAGAGCACTTTGCTTCATATAAGAAATTTTTTAGGCTTGTACTTTGCTATAAAAGGGATTGAGCCACCTTGCTGCACCCTTGCTACCATTTTTACTTGTTACTTGTTACGAATTATCTTGCTACAAAACTATCTATCATTGTTACTTACAGCACTTGCAGATAATACCTTGCTGAAAACCGCTTGTCATTTCCTTCTGCTCCTCGTTGGGTTCGACACTCTTACTTATCAAAAGGACTACGATTGATCCTCTATATTTGTGGGTCATCATAAAATCGCAGTGGCCAGCGCGACGGCCTGACCCCATCACCGCCAAACTACTACAACAATCCTCTCATATGGATCCAATAAAACACACTAGCTTTAGGATGACTTCCTTGTGCTGGAAAAGATTCTTGTGAGTGCTATGGTCGTACCTGTGACACATTGAGTCTATCACGTTGGAGCATCAGGCTTAGTGAGCTTCGTCACGGCGATCACAACCTCCCAAGGCAGTGTGGGGACAACAAGGACGATGATGAGGAACGGAGAATGAGTGGCTTCCCTGCACTGCTCACCTATATGTTTGTTGATGTTGATGCCCCTGGTGGGGCGATTGTTTATGGGCCAACGCTACATGTCCGTCGGTTGTAAACCGAGAAAGATCAATTGCCTGATCAGCCGTATGATCGACAAAGTCTAAGTCAGATCACTGTTGTTGAATGATGAACGTGTCATCCTACAAACCGCATTGGAGAAAGGACTCCTTTCCATGTGGGTGTATCCCACCACTACCATTATGCCGTATCATTATTTTCATCATGTTTTCCCAACAAGTGAACGTCATGCACTCTCTCGTGTGGGACCAACTCGACCCATGTGACTAGTTAGAGCAAGTACAATAAGATACAGTCAGCAGACTTTAAGGATTCAGCTATTATATTTGTGCTGAGTTGGATGAGAGAGAAGAGGAGAGAGAAGGGAAGCGGGTTATAGAGCTTAATTGGTTTGATGCCAAAAGTTGGCATGCCAAATTTTGGCAACTACCAAATATTGGCTAGAGATTGGTTGCTTACCAATTCTCGTTGCCAATCTCACAAAAAGTTGCCAAATGTTGGCAACTTTTAATTTTGCCAAATGTTGGCTTGCCAAATATTGACAATGCCAAATGTTGGTAGCAAACCAATTATGCATAGATTAACAACCGACTACATCATGAACTCCAAGAAACATTATGAGAGTGTAAGTTAGGCCATGCATTAATAAAGTAGTACTACTTAGCAACTAGCTATTATACATGTTGACTATATATGACATGACAACTCCATATAGCATGTTGTTGGCTATACTATTAACCATGCTCTTAAAAAGTGATTGTAGGTTGCATGGTGATAGGACTGCTGACTAGGAAAACTTCCGCAACATTTCTTTTCATATACAACATCATCGTACATGATTTTTTTTGGATGTATATCTACAAAAATCCTTGATGGGCGCTAAGTCGTCGGCCGGGTGATGTTTAGATCGGGTTGGCTGCCTGCACAGTTGTTGGACGGTACGTCAGCCGCGGTCATTTGCAACACGGACCATGTTTTGCTTAGGGCTTTGCAACACATGAGGTGTGTTGTAGTCTGTTTCGGTCACACATTGTAAAATATTTTAACATGAATCATTTTGCAGTCACCCATTGCAACATGGATCATGTTGTGGTCACCTCCAGAGCTTCCATGATGCGGGCATGTGGTCACCCATTGCAACATGGACCAAGGTATGGTCACCCATTGCAACATCGACAAAGTTACGGTCACCCATTCCAGCAAGTACCATGCTGCGCCTTTGCAGCACTGGTGGTCTAACTTGCAATGTTGTACGCCATTTGCAGGTTGGCGGCGTTTGGGCTTGAGGCAGCCACACTAATGTTGTGAGGACACCGCCTTGGTTTGCTACAGGGCGGTGGCCGCGGACTCACAACGATGTTTGCAACATTGGCGATGATGCAGGGATAATCGCAACATTAGCCATGTTGCAATCGGGCACGTCTGCAATATTGGCGATGTTGCAAACATGCTCGTGGTGCTCTGCTCATCGGCCCAACATCAATGATATTGTGTTTGGTTTGCAACAACGTCGCTCGGTGTGGAACAACCGGGGTGCTTATTTTAGAAAAAAAAATCTCATTCTGTGTGCAACCGGGTGGCTTGGAAGCGAGCACCTGCAACCCTGAAGCAAACTTTGCACACACTCGATCAGCATAAAAGGATGAGAAACAGAGCGACACTTGTGTCGCATCACTGAGAGGCGAGCAGACGCAACGCTGGAGCAGCTCCAACACCGACGCGTGCAAAACAGCAACGATCACAAGTCGATTGGTCTGTGGCAGCAGTAGTTATCGTCTACCTCATCTCTGATATAGCAACACATCAATTCGTGCTAGCAAAAGAGTACAAGTCAAAAGCAAGCTGGTGTACTAGAAAGTAGTGGCCTAGTGGGGGACCACACACGTGTATTTAGGAAGGTTGCATGCCTTGATCGAACGATAGAGCGTGAGCGCGATTGACTGAGTAGTGCGTGGCGGACGCAACGTTAAAATTAGTCAGTGAAGGAAATAATTTTCCTTGTTTATGTCACCATGCAGGAACAAAGGAGGTGCCATGGCAGCGGGGGTGTTCGGTGCAAATTGAGAAATGCGATGATGTGATGTGTGGGCATGTGAGAACGGTGACCCAGACCACCTCGTTATTCGTCTTCTCTCTTGGATTTTTTTGAATCAAGCGATCATTAGCATGAAGTTCAAAAAAATAGAATTGACTGCTTCAGTGGAAAAATATGTTTTAGTTTATGAGGGTTGTTCATTTTAGTTCTACCTCTTGCCACTTTACCTATCAATCAGCAACCTGCTAACACTTGCGACCTGTGTGATACTTGATGCTTGTTCCAATCTTAAAATGCAGATAACAAAACAAACATTTATGGTATTCTATATATAGAGTTCATAACGAGCTACTTTTCTATGTGAAAACGGAGCTATCACAAAAGAAACATAATTCTTGTAAGTAATTGTTTTGTCTATATGTTTAGGCTACAAGACTTGTTGGTAAGTGGTAATGAACATATATCACGCTTCTTTACATGCTCAGTGCTCAAAACATGATCCATCATTGTATTGTGTCAAGACCACATGGTTTAACAAGCTTTTGCTAACTGCAATAATATGATAGAAATAGTATTAGTAGCACAACATCAAGAAGAACTCTTGAACAAAAAGCAGAGCAACATAGTAAGATCAGTAACGGACCTGGGTTCTCATATATCCTTAAAACAAAACCCAAATCCATAGGACCCCGTACCCTGCTTGTGGTCACGTTCAACTGCAAAACAGGAATTCATTGTTGAGATCTTCGATAGGCACTTCAAATGATACCATCATTTGTGCTACCGACAATCCATGGTGATATTTGCTATACTAAGAAGTAAACTATACAAATATAGTACATAGTTTTGAAGTTAAAAGTCTGCGGTGACAAGGTTACTATCTTTTTTTTTCCAAAAGTATAATACTTCCCCCAATTCATATTATTTGTCGCTCAAACAGATGTATCTAGCACTGAAATACATCTAGATACAACCATTTCAGTAACAACTAATATGGATCGGAGGGAGTAAGATTTTTCTTCGAATAAGTCTTTTCGTAAGGATCTGAAGGAGGCAAACCTGCGACGTTAAATGTTAAGAAGGTCATGATCGGATGGTTTAGCACCATAGCAAAGGACGATTTGGAGAGACCTGCCTTCCCCTGTTAAAAAAGCAGTAATTATTTGCATGATTAAATGTGCACATACATAGACAATAATTAAACTGAGAGACCTACAGCAAACCAACATTTCACGGGAAAAATTAAGCAATGACACGTTGCCGTTCTTTCTTGATAAAATGACCCATCGATGGTCCAAAGTGCAAACTAGGATACATATTCAAATGCTAGAAGGGAATCATATACATATATAGGTGCATTTTTTTCCTAAAGGAACATCTGATAAAGAAGCGCAGCTGACCTTTACTAACACATGTTCATTAGGCTTCCAACATGCAGCTATCTGAAACGACAAATCGTTTGCATTTTCTGGTGGTTTGTCTCTATTCAACCTAAAGATCAACCATAAAGAAATGTAGTCAGGGGCATTGTTGCAAAAATGAGAATATTTTTCTTTCTTTCTTTCGGTTTACCTTTTGGCCAGCTCAAGCCCAAGATCAATGGAGTTTGTCGGACTAATGAAGTCGTATTCAGTATTTCCTTCCTGCAGGTAGGGACACACACAGTGTAAATCTAGACGTTTAAACAGAATAATTGCATATGACAATTCAAGATCCATAATTATTTTATTGAGTCTCTAAACGAACTTTCAACGGACGTCAGAAGAATTGCATAGGTAATTTGGTAAAGTAGGAAGTTAAACATCTATGGTACTAAATGAAATATAACTACTCTTACCGTGCAGCCCACAACATGGTTCCGATAAAACGATGCAACCAGCTGCATATGAGGAACAGAAATTTCATCAGAATCAATAAAAGTAAATTTGCATCGTATGAGAGATCCAATAAAGGAAAAAGTAGCTTAAGATATCCAACAACATTTTCTTTTAGTAGACAATAAAGTTCCATACAAAACAAAGGATGAGAAAGAAAAGCGAGAGAAACATATGTATGAATTATATCCAACATCGAAAAGGACGAAAAGAGAGAAAGAAACATATATATGAATCATGTTTCACTGTGATCGACAATTGAGTTCTTTAAATAAGATAAATTTATGCGCGCGCGCACACACACATGTGTATGTATAGATATTATACAAGTAGCAATATTTCTAATAAATCATTCTCTGTATGTAAACTTGGAGCTTGGAACTGGAAACTGAATTTCAAAGGGATGGAGAGAATAACCATGTTTTGCAAGCATCATATTTAAGCACGTGTACTCGGTATAATCTTGTCCAGATGCTTTTTTCTATAAAAAAACGCCCCTTGGTGTTGAAAGCTAACGGACAATGTGAAACCTGTATTGTATTAGGTAATAAACAACAACTTCAACAAACCTGTGTATTTCTGACAAGCTCTAGGGCAAAATTGAGTGAAGGGCTGAGTGGGCTATTTGATCCCATGCCATAACTGATTGCACAATTCCAGTTCATCGGGTCAGTAAACGGCACAGGATGCTTGCTTCCACCTATCGAAAAATGTATATGAAATACAAAGGAGAAATAAATCCTTGATGCCAAACTAGCGAACCTAGAAGATATGTGATGTTCAATCTTTTATTTGCATATATTGGACTTAGCTTCACTACTGATTAAGACTGGAACGTAAAAGACATTTTTGTTTTGGCAAGAAGAAATAAAATAAGCCATCTAGACCTTTATCTGAAAGAAATTTTCCATGTGAATGGTTATGGTGGTCCTTAATTTCCGTGTGGAATGAAACATTGTAAAGGAAAAACCCTCAAAATTGTAAAGCATCATGTGGCTACATAATAGCACTACTAAATCTACATAAAAGGGGAGAACAGTGGAGTAAAGAAACTACTGTCCGGTGATAGTGTAAGTTTGGTAACACTCACTAAGTGGCTTGTATTGGACCCCTGCACTTAAACCTCCTCTTCTTCCGACCAACCATGCACTATAGGGTACCTCACCAGATACTGCGTACAAAAAAAAAATGTAATTAGCACATAGTAGCATGCACTAGCATAGCTAGCCAAGAATCTCCAGGGGTGACCAGATACAAAACTTGATTGTTTGAGGGGTCCAAATTGAATCAAACTAAGATGGAAATCAACTTGGATTAAAAAAAATCTCTTACTCATTTCACCAAGCTCTATTAGATTTTATAAATAATAATCCGGTCAAGTAAAAATATATAAATATTAACATACAAGCAAATGGTAGAAAAGATGCTCCAATCGACAGATTCCTTGAACCATATCTTAAACCCATGACACCGTAGTCTTCGGAACGCACCCTGTCAAACAGAGAAAACTGAATTTAGTCATCAATATGGTTAATTAGCAGTTATATTCAGAATTAATAGTGAGGCTATAACTTTAATAGAAGTATGGATTTTAATGCATGCTTCTCAAACACATGGAGGTATATTTTGCTAGAAAGCTAGCTATGTAACATCTGCGTGCATTATTCATGCTGTGCGATCAAACAAGAGCCTTACAAGTTTACCTGTTTGTCATAAGGAAAGGGAATGTTCCAAAGGCGCCAATACCGTACTTTGGATAGTAAGCGCATGATCTTAGCCGCAACATGCTGGATATACAAGTTGAAAGCCAAATTAGCATATGTACGCATGTATGTCTCACAAGTTTCACAAGGATGCAAGCAGCTGGCATCTCCTAGATGTGGGCCGTTGAGCAAGAAGTCGCTTACGGTTCCGAAGCGGACGCAGTCAAGTCCACAAATGTGTGTGGATTATCTAAATCCCTAAAAAAGGTAAACAAAAAACATTTTATGTTTAGATAACAGCAAGCTAAGCTGGAGCACATGACATAATTAAGTAACTTAGAGATACTCCCTCCGTCCCAAAATTCTTGTCTTAGATTTGCCTAAATACGGATGTATCAAGTTTCGGTTACTACGTACCTGTGCCACCGAAACTGGGCCTCCATGTCGCTGCTTGTAGAAATCTAGTGAATTAATTCAAGTTAGGGAACAAATAGGTACAATACTACTATGTTTTTCTTGCAAATAAATTTATGTACCCAGCAGCTACTTAGTTTATATCTAGCTAGATAGATTTACATAGTACTGATAGAATAGAAAGGCTAGCTAGGTTGGTCGAACTAAAATAAACTTCTGTTTTGTATATGGCAAAATAGCATGGATGGAGATGGATACGGTGGCGGCCAGCTGAAGGCGAGGATCTTCCTTGGCCTTGAGCACGAAGCGCGTGTCGATGCCGCCGCGCTGCATGAAGTAGTCGTCGAAGAGGCCGCGCAGCGAGAGCTTCCCGAACATGACGTCGTACCCCGGCACCGACATCCTGCCACCATACAACGCAGATTCTAGTGCACACGTACATATAGTACTGCAGAAGCTAGCTTAGCCTCCTCGGTCTAGTTTTCGGGCCGGAGAGGAAGAAGGGTTGAGAAGAGAAGGCGGGTGAACGGACCTGGTGCGGGCGGCGGTGGGACTGGGGTAGTCGGAGACGGGCGGGACCAGATCCATTGGCGGCGGCGCCGGTGGTTCGCTTTCCAACGCAATAGAGATATGTCGATCGGTAGCTGCTTATCGACGGAGATCGCGACTAGTGGATGAAGTATGAAACCCCTATTTAGTCTGACTATTTTTACGGAATAGTACTCCTACGTACGAGTATATCTCTGCGCGCTTGGCCCACATGCTCAATATTTCTTTCTTGCTGTTCTAATTTTTTCTTTCTTTCTTGCATAATAAATAAGCAGGCAAAAGTATTTTTTTGAACCCGGCACCATATCTACTATATCTAAATAGCTAGCCCCCACTACTAGAAATTCTCTCGCTTCTCCTTTAGTCACATCACTCAAATTAATTTAGCCCTTGGATATACTAGATCAGTCAATAATATCTATCCCATCTACACACTAAGAGATGCTGCACCCACCATATGTGGTAACTGACGAATGCTCACAGTAACTACCTCCTACGATTGTGTTAATCCCGATATAAATTGACGCATGCATGCAACTTTTAACGTCATACTTCAGTGCTCTACATGGAAGAAAAGTTAGTCGTGCATGCATATTTTATGTTGTTTTCATCTAACTTTGAACATATATATATAGAATTGTACACACGGTAGCTAGATGATTAGTTCCGCACAATTTTTATTTCATACAAAATCCCGTCGCAAAGCGCAGGGCATCGTCTAGTATATAGAATAGCTGGCTTATTCCATGACTCCTTAGTGAGAATCCAGATAAATTCGCTCCACGCAGGAGTCGAACTCCGGTTGCCTGGTGCACCACTGTGATCCCAGCCATTGGGTTACTGCCCTATTCTCAATAAATAAAGCAGGCAAAAGTAAAAAAAAACTGGATTAATTTGAATTGCTTACCACATATGTCACGTGGTAAGCAAGCCAAAGTAAATTCATCATGCATAGTGTAGAATTACTGAAAACGGCTTTCATCTCACTTTATATTATATATAAAGCACCAACCAAGCCTTACAACCATCGAACAACAGAAAAAGAAGAAGAAAAAATAAAGTGACAATGATACAAGATGCTAATGAACAGCTTACTAACAGGCTCCCAATGGACCCATAACAAGGTAGACCATTGAATTAATCCTACGGCAACTCCAGATCATGCCATCGATGCAACCACAACAAGGGAGCAGCCCGTCGACGGAGGAAGACCCGCCGTCTGTCTCTTCCTCCAAAGAAGCCCCTCGGCCCTCTCGTCCTGGATCGTAGGACACCATGCCATCAGTAGGAGAAAAACTCACCCCTGAACGTGCATGGACAGGACCGACCTATTGCCAGGAGGGGATGACAAGCATGGAGACCACACCCCATACATCGTCACCACCTCTGACAAGCACCATGAAGCCCACCGCAAGTTCCCGAGCAGGGAAACCGCTGATGCATCACCGGCAGACCACCACCCACGCCAAGCCTCAACCACCACTCCACCATCCCAGGAAGCTCCTTCAAGATTATAAACAACACCATAGCATTGTCGCTGCCCAATCCGAGGGATTTCGGGTTTCACCAGAGACCAGGAGATGGAGGGCCGGGGATAGATCTCGATGCCACCAAAGGAGAAGTTTATGTTCTCGAACTGTACAAATTCTATTGCTGCCAAAGGAGAAGAGCTCGCGTTTGTCCGCCAGTTCCACTAGTCTTCGGCATCCTTCCAGGCATCACAAGATGAGGGGAACTGCTGGCAGAGACAAGGGAAACCATAGATTAATGTTGGAGAGCAGTTTCAATTTTTTTTACTATGCTATGTTCGTATCGCCTTGGTGTTCGACATCATAATTGTGAAGACGACATCGTACAAAGAAATAATTCCCACGGCTCCGGAGAGCCTAAGGTATTCGAGTCTCGCAGATCAATGATCTCTGATCTTGTGGATCATCGTCCGCTGCTTCTGACAGTCATGGCCATGGCGGCAATAGTGTCACATGAGTTTTGGTAGAGGTTCTCCTACTTTGATTTTTTGTGTTCCCGGTCTTGACCAACATGTTGATGATGAATTAGTTGTTACCTTGCCTTGCGGGAGGTGTCTTCCGGGCCACAATGCGTTCAACCATACTTTAGGTTCCCACCTATAGTATTCGCAAAGAAAAGGTTTCCACCTATACAAAAAATAGATGCTAAGCTTGCAATGTCTGATAACTGGGCTCACGAGGGACTGCTAGTGAGATATTGGAGGAAGGTGAGGATGACGTGCGTCAAGTCCGCATAGCTCTTATGAGCTGGGCCACATACATGCTACAATGGCAACCAACTTCCTTGACCTTTCGGCACTGGGCAGGCGTGAGGCCCCATAAATGAGGCAAGAAGTTGTGCTGGTGGAGCAACAAATGGTGGGCGATTCATGATGCTCTTCAAAATCTCAAAGGTTAGTTCAACCTGTGCAAATTTGATTTTCTGCAGATGCAAGAGGTGAAGTTAGAGATGACGTTGAAGAGGCTTGATTTAACTTTTATTTCTGTTTGTTCGATCTGATGTACTGGTCGATAAATAAATAAAGTCAAATTATTTACTAAAAAGTTACAAATTTTATTCCTTTCTTTTGGCGGCGTCAACGCACAGAAACATATTTTCATTAAGCTCTTACAGGGCTAATAGGGTTTCACTAGCAAAAGAGCCCATGCGTTGAAACGGAAGAAAACAATATATCACATGCCCCTAACCGAATAACCATGACTCAAGACCCCAATAGGTCCACGTCGTTTATTTCAACTTGGCATCACATCTGTGTTGCCACTTATGATCCTTCCTACTCTCGCCGGTGGTGGCCTCAGTGCTCACTCAACCATAATG